GTTTTCTTCAGAAAAAGGAAAAAAGTTCCCTTTGCTTACTGCTGAGCTCATTTTTAAACATTTATGTTAGGGGGGCTTGCGGGCAGGAGCAATAATTGTGTAATGTCTTAGGAGCAGGGAGCATTCCAAAAGCATGACTGCGTGCCCTTTCCAGCACTCACAGTCCTCCCTGCGGCCGCCAGAGCCCCCAAACCCAGCCCCAGCCTCGGCACCCCCATGCAAATGGCAGTGCGACCCCAGGGTGCTTTGTGGGGGTCATCTGCACGGGGGGACTGGACCCCACAAAGTGCTCAGGTTGTGAAACCGGCGGCAGGGGGGCAGCAGCTCTGCCTGTGGTTCACTGAGACCGGGAGCGTTTTATTTCCATCCTGCCAAGCGCCTTTGGTGTCCAAACGGTTTCAGTTTATGTTCAGCTTCTCCTTCCCAGCTCCAAGTGGAGTAGCTCAGGGCTGTGTGGGATTTTATGAACCTGCATCCATGTTCCCGACAGCTACAGCTTCTCCAGGGAGACGTTTTTTTAAGTGGAAAATAAGCCAAGTCCCTGTCTTCCAACAGGTTATCAGGAGCGCTTAACCAGGCTCACCTCCTAACTTGCTGTTTGCACTGGAGAGGCGTATTGACATGAAAAGTAAGGAATGTATTGGCAAATATGGATTGGCCCCAGGGCAGCAGCCAGGCATGGCACAAGTATGGGTGCTGCTCCACTGTGGCAGGGTGTTTGGAGCTTTCGGCAAAACACGGGTGCAGTGTGGGCCTGGGAAGGCTCTCGCTTCTGCGGGCGGTGAAATGGGACCATGGTGTCTGTTGGAGAGGGAGGGAGGGCAGGCAGCCTCTTCCCACAGAGCTCAGGCACTTGCGGTTCAGGCTTTGTTTAGGCTTTAAAATTCTTCTGTTCCAAGTCCCTTTCTCTGCTTTGCTTGTGGATGTTTTTGTGGGATTTAGCCATGAAAACAAGCCAGCCTGAATGCTCTGCTCAGGACCTGGGTCTGGCAGCCGCCCTTTGCTTCTGTAAACCCTTGCTGGCCAAATCTGCCCAAAAAAGAGCTCACAGCTTTAGAAAAAAACTGGTAAGATCCCAAAAGCACTGAGTTTGAGCTCCTTTTTTGATGATTGATTGTTATTTGGTTGTGGTAGGTCTCGGTCTGGGATGCTGTTTGGATGCTACACCAGCTGTGGTTTTGTCTCAGCAAATTAAATTTCCCTCGATGGGCATAGCTGTCAGATTGTAATTTGGAAGTTGGCTTTCTTTTGGCCTGTTGATATGGTGGGAGCAGAGCGGCTCTTGAGGGTTCTGGAGGGAGGAACCCCTGTGCTCCTAGCAGTGGTCAGTGGCTGCCCAAAGCGGCTCCTGTTTGCCTGGCAGTGGCCCTGGGGGCCCTGTCCTGAGGTGCCCTTGCCTGCATTCAGGCAGTGGTGGCAGCCCTGAGCACACACAGGGCCATGTTTAGAGGTGGAGACAGCTCGGCCTTGGCTGTGCTGGTCAGAAAACATTGTGTCCCCGGGTAGTGCTCTGGGTGCTGTGAGCTCCCTTAGCTCTCATCCATGTTACAGGCGGCATCGCCTGCACTGAAAACATGTGTTTTGGGGATTTTGAAATCCAGTTACACATCTCATGGTGGTCCCAGCCTTGAGCCTGGGCCGTGCAGCATCATCCCAGCCCCTTCCCAAGCAAGAGTTAAGTCAGAACAGTCCAGCTGAGCGCTAGGATGCTTTATTTTGTTAAACCAAACTGAAGGGCTGGTTTTGCTGGGGGTGAGGTGACAGGTCCTGCCGGGTTGGGGCTGGCAGTGGCAACTCTTGGGCATTTCAGCTTTAGCACAAAAACCTCTCTGTTGGCTCAGGAGCTCGAGCGTCGCTAGGGAGCTTCGCTGACAGATTTCTGTCCCTGGCGCGATTCCTCCTTCGGTCGCTCCCTGCCGCTCCCGAGACCCCGCAGCAGCCGCTGACTGACGACACGTCCTGCTGCTGCCGGAGGGATTCCTGGTTCCTGCTCACGGCTCAAGGCACAAAGCTGGGGGAGCCGGCCCTGGAGCCATGGCTGGGTTTGTGGTGGTGGCATTACAACAGCTGCTCGGGACATGAAGCAGAGCATTTTGGTCCATTTTGCGGTGAAGAATCCTGCTCGGGGTTGGGCTGATGCTGACGGCAGTGGGGGCATGGACTGAACCCATGGCTGTCCCGGTGCCGCCCCAGCCCAGGAGCCCTGCGGGGCTGTGGTGCTGCTTGGCGGGGGGGGGCGGGTTGGCGGGAGGTGCCGGCACAAAGCCTCTGCTCCCTTGCGTTATCTCCGTGAATGGGCAGGAGGCATCTCCAGGGAGGCACACAAAATGCTGCTCCCGCCCAAAACCCATGGCTGCTGCCCAGGCCGGGTTGGATTGTCAACGTGGCTGGGCAGCCTTCGCTGTAACTCGGGGTGGCTGATGCTCAATAGAGTTTAACATCTGAATTTTCATGTCTCGTGTGGGCGACTGTGTCTTTTTAATGACTTGGCCTGCCGACAGTAGTAGTGAAGCCATCCTCTTCGAACTGTCTCCACGTTTTCTACTCACTTTTATCCGTTTGTGATCTGGGAATGGCACAAAGCCCTTTGCATCCAGCTCCCCTGTCCCAGGGGCTGGCCATGTCCTGCTGGCAGAGTAGCTGGTCTCCCCTGTTCCGGAGTGCCACCAGCATCGGGGGTGGGGGCCGGGCCATGCGTGGTGGCCTTGG